TACTAGAAGATCGAGAACACACCTCCTTCAACACCCACTAAGGGACATATTGCTATAAAGTCATGTCAATCGAGTTGAAGAACACAGGAGCAACATACCAAAGGATGATGAATAAGATCTTTAAGCATCAGATCGGGAGAAATGTTAAAGTATATGTAGATGATATGATAGTGAAAAGCAGAATGATTGACTCACACTTTACAAACCTGGTAGAGACTTTTCATATTCTAAAGAGATACAACATGCGTCTCAATATGACCAAGTGCACTTTCGAAGTCAGCTAAGGAAAGTTTCTTGGGTTCATTGTACATCAGAGAAAGATAGATACAAACCATAAAAAAGTATAAGACATACTAAAAATGCACTCGCCTCAGTCAGTAAAAGAAGTCCAACGACTAACGGGGCAAATAGTAGCCTTGAGCCAATTTTTGTCCCGATCTGACGACAAATGCTAACCTTTTTTTCTTAGCCCTTAAGAACCCAAAAGGTTTTTTGTGGACCTTGGAATGCCAAGAGCCTATTGAGAAATTAAAGTATCACCTCGCCCAACTACGATAGTTGACCTCTACCTCAGGAGTGATTCTCAGTCTTTATTTTGCCGTTACTGACCTGGCCGTCAACTCCGTACTAGTCCAAGATAATGCAGGGAGTCAAAGGCTCATCTACTATGCTAATCACATCCTAAATTGACCCAGAAATGATACCCACATATACAGTGACTAGCATTTGCACTAGTACTCAAGGCGAGAAAGCTCAATCCTTACTTTCAAGTGCACATCATATAGGTTATTACCGACCAACCACTCTATTTGGTTCTACCTCGATTCAACTAACCAGACTAGTGATGAGTGAGTTCAACATACAATATACACCAAGAACTACCATAAAAGTCTAGGCCATGGCAGATTTTATTTTAGAGTCGACTCCTCCACCTGAAGATGACAGCTATATTCCTGCGGTGTGGATATTATTTATTGATGGTTTAGCCACCTTGGAGACCGGCGGTGCCGACATCATCTTAAATCGCTCAGACCAACAGATGTATAAGCAAGCCTTTATATTTGAATTCAAAATATATAACAACGAGGTCAAATATGAGGTACTCCTCTCAGGATTCTAGCTCGCACAAGAACTTTAGGTCCAAGAACTAATGATGTTTAGTCACTCATAACTAGTCATAAGGGAGGTTATGAAGCCCGAGATGCAATTATGGTGAAAATACCTCATTAAGGTATAGAAATTAACTCATAACTGATCCTAACTCAGTGTGCTTCGAATACTACATAAGAAAAATACTCTAGCAGATACACTCACCCGATTAGCGTCTTCCCAAACTCCCAAGCAAAGTTGTTCGTGGGTCAAAACATTATTAACCCAAACCATCAAGAAGCTTGACATAGCTATGGTTAGAGAGGAATTAAGTTGGATGGATGAGATCCTATGTTACAAGAAAGATGGCACACTGCCAACCGACCCCGCAACAGCCTAAAGAGTCAAGTACCATCAGGTATGGTATTGTCTAATCAATAGTCGACTATATCATAGGTCTTTCAGTCTCACTCCTCATATGCTTAACCCCTCACAAGGCCATGAGGGTGATTGCCAAGATTCATGAGGATATCTATGAAGAACACATCAACGGATAAACCCTTGCCTTCAAGGTGCTTGGGCAAGGGTACTACTAGCCAACACTATGCAAGGAAACAATTGCTTGTGCCCAAAAGTGTCACGGGTGCTAGGAATTTGCTCATATACCATGATATCGATAGTCCCCTTGAGTCCAATCGATTGTGCATTGTCATTTGCTCAACGGGGCATGAGCCTTCTTGTGCCCTTCGCACCCACTTCCAGTTAACGAAGATTCTTCATCGTAGGAGTCGATTACTTCACAAAGTGGGTGGAAGTCGAGTTGTTAGCATCGATAACTAAGAAACATGTCGAGGGGTTTGTATGGAAGAACATTATCACCCACTCTAGGATACCAAAGGCCCTCGTCACGAACAACGAACTCAATTCAACAACTCAAAATTTAGGGAGCTCTGCCAATCATACAAAATTCAACTAAGGTTCAGCTTGGTGGCCCACCCCCAAACCAACGATCTTATTGAAGTCACCAACCGATATATCCTCAAAAATCTTAAAAAGTGAGTCATCGAATCAAAGGGTACCTGGGTAGACTAGTTATCAAGCATCCTATGGGCTTCCCGAATGACAAGTAAGACCATAGTGGGTGAATCATCCTTTTAACCTAGCATTTGGTACCGAGATCATTCTACCACCTAAGATAGTATTCTTGACACCCCATGTCAAAAACCTCAACAAGGAAGCCTTCGAAGCAGGGCTTTAAGCTGGGCTTGATTTAATCATTGAGACCAGAGTAACTGCACATTTGTGAATTTTGATATATAAGAAGGCAATGGCCAAGCTTTACGACAGAGGTATTTGCCCTTAGGGAATTTGACTAGGAGACTTAGTGCTATGTAAGGCTAATATAAGTAACCCGATGCGATCCCGAGAGAAGCTAGCACCAAAGTGGGAAGGAACATACCCAGTTAACAAAATCATCCAAGATGGAATATATCGTCTCGGAACAACAGAAGGTGGGATGTTACCAAGAACGTGATATATCTCCAACATAAAGAAGTTTTATCCTTAAGGTTCCCCTGGTTCGATCAAGGGATACTTTAAGTTCATAGAAAGTATATTTTTTATTTTCTAAAAAAAAAGATTATGGTAGATAGACCAGGTCTTCACAAACAAATTTAGACACCGATCTACAAAAGACAAAAGAACATATCGCAAAATGGTTCAATAGATTAAGTACCTGAGCGAGGTAGTGAGTCAGGTTATCGTCAAAAGTTATCTTATTTTTCATCTGGATGCCTTGGCCCTCAATGTAGTCGATGAATGGGTCCTCCTTGAACTCTAATCCCAAATACCACCTCTTAAAATGAGCTAAGACAATTAAGTATCCAAACTTATACGAGGTGACCCTCGACCTTTCCAACCCCTTTCTAAATCTCACAGAACCCTAAGATCCATGAGAGGAAAGGTCGTAACCCCTGACCTTTCCTAGAAATTCTCATCTCTCTCTTCCTCTCTTCTCCCTTCATTATTAAAATACTAGTCAAGGAGAATATGAAAAGATACTCCTAAAGCCATTTGTGGGAATCCAACCCACAACCAAGTGGCACCAATCGTGGAAAAGCATTCTTTCACTCCCCTCACGAAGTCACCTTCGCAACCAAATTAAGGTACCTTTTTGGGATTATTCTGACAAGATGTATGAGTTGAGCAAACTTAACTCTTATAAGAAGAAATCCACTACGACGGTAAATTAGGCTATAAAGGCGCCCAAGACGTGTGAGTTGGGCAAACCCGACCCACATAAGAAGAAATCCACTACGATGGTAAATTGGTCCATGAAGGCACTCAAGACGCATGAGTTAGGTAAACTCGACCCGCGTAAGAAAAAATCTACTATAGTGGTAAATTGGGCTAGGAAGACGCCCAAGACGAGTGAGTTAGGCAAACTCGACCAACGTAAGAAGAAATATGCTACAACGGTAAATCAGGCCAGGAAGACACTCAAGACGCATGAGTTGGGCAAACCCGACCTGCGTAAGAAGAAATCTATTGCGATGGTAAATCATGCCAGGATGACACCTAAGACGTGTGAGTTGGGCAAACTTGACCCGTGTAAGAAGAAATATATTATAATGGTATATTAGGCTAGGAAGGCTCCCAAGACGTGTGAGTCGGGCAAACCCAACCCGCGTAAAAAGAAATCTGCTATGGTAGTAAATTGGGATAGGAAGGCGTCCAAAATGTGTGAATCGAGTAAACCCAACCCACATAAGAAGAAATTCATTACGATCATAAATTAGACCAAGAAGGCACCTAAGACACGTGAATCGAGCAAACTCGATTCATGTAAGAAGAAATCTACTACGATGGTAAATCGAGCAAACCCAACCCACATAAGAAGAATTCGGCTACGATCGTAAATTAGACTAAGAAGGTGCCCAAGACGCGTGAGTCGAGCAAACTCGATTCATATAAGAAGAAATCTACTACGATGGTAAATCGAGCCAGGAAGACGCCCAAGACACATGAGTCGAGCAAACTTGACCTACGTAAGAAGAAACCGGCTGACGCGACAGCGGACACAAGAATTCTATTGTCTGGTCGGTTACAAATTGGCTCCCCTACGAAATATTCATAGGAATATTCCTGAAATACCATAAGGTAGTTTGGGTCGATTATGAATCGGCTCTCGTACGAAATATTCTCGGAATACCAGAAGGCAATTCGAGTCGATTACAAACTGACACCCCTACGAAATATTTGCAGAAAGAACGTAATTCGAGTCCGTTACAAATTGCCTTCCTTACAGAATCTTTACGAGATATTCTTCTTTCTCGATGTTAGTATAAAAATATATCCTTAGCTCTAGATTAAAGGAGGAGAAAAAAAAAAGTAGAACTCTAGTAACTTAAGCATAAGAGGGATCGACTCAGGAAACCTCTCGACCTCGGTCCTTACGTAGAAAACGAGTCTAAAAATATCATACTCTACCCTGGTTGATTTCTCGTATATGGATCAGGATTATATAGTCTTGACATAGAAGTCAACAATATTTTCCCCCAACATATACTGTCCTAATCTTCATCCATTTTGTACCGTTTCATTTGACGTTGAACCATACCTTCTCATGGCCATACCGAGTTAAACGGATCGGATTCTTCTTGTCGGAAGAAATTAACTCGGTATTTGCATCACGTGATGTATCGAGTTAAGCGGATCGGGTTCTTCTTCTTGTCGGACTAACCCGATCATTCCATTGCTAATGCTACTGCCACGTCGCAACAAAGCCGGGTCGGGAGAACCGGACGCCCACTGCTTCTTCGCTGAGGACGCCGCACGAAGCGGACCTCCGCTTGCTCGCTTCGACCCCTTCGCCCCTTTAAATACCCATCGGCTATCGATAGAGAAGAAACAGAGGAGCGGAGAAGAAGACGGACAGACCGATAGCCTTCTTCTCCCTCTTCTCACTCCATCTAATCGTCTACGGCCCCTTTTGGTACTCGTTTCTTTCTCCATGACACAAACGCGTTCTGCATATATCCTTTCTTCATCACATAACTCTGTTGCTGACACAGGAGCTCCTCTTAGTAAACGATGGCAGAGGGTGAGGACATCCAACCTCTGGTGTGCGACAATGGAACTGGGATGGTTAAGGTACCAACCAACACGATCATACGTTTGATTCACAGCCATGATTTCTAGGAACTCAAACCTCTCTCTCTCTCTCTCTCTCTCTCTCTCTCTCTCTCTCTCTCTCTCTCTCTCTCTCTCTCTCTCTCTCTGTGCGCGCGTGTGTGTTTATAGGCTGGGTTCGCCGGAGATGATGCTCCAAGAGCCGTCTTCCCGAGCATCGTCGGCCGCCCCCGCCACACCGGCGTGATGGTCGGCATGGGGCAGAAGGACGCCTACGTCGGGGACGAGGCTCAATCCAAGAGAGGCATATTGACGCTCAAGTACCCCATCGAGCACGGCATCGTCAACAACTGGGACGACATGGAGAAGATATGGCATCACACCTTCTACAACGAGCTCCGCATCGCTCCCGAAGAGCACCCCGTCCTCCTCACCGAGGCCCCCCTCAACCCTAAAGCCAACCGCGAGAAGATGACCCAGATCATGTTCGAGACCTTCAATGCTCCCGCCATGTACGTCGCCATCCAAGCCGTCCTCTCCCTCTACGCCAGTGGACGCACAACAGGTACGTCCGTCGTTGCATGCACTGCGTTTGCCCTCGCGTTGCACTAGGATGACCGGAGCAACGCTGGTGGGCGCGGCGCAGGGATTGTGCTGGATTCCGGTGATGGCGTTAGCCACACCGTCCCGATCTACGAAGGCTACGCCCTCCCGCACGCCATCCTTCGGCTGGACTTGGCAGGCCGCGACCTGACCGACCACCTCATGAAGATCCTGACGGAGCGCGGCTACTCCTTCACCACCACCGCGGAGCGCGAGATCGTGAGGGACATGAAGGAGAAGCTGGCGTACATCGCCCTCGACTACGAGCAGGAGATGGAGGCCGCCAAGACCCCCGCGGCGGTGGAGAAGACCTACGAGCTCCCCGACGGGCAGGTGATCACCATCGGCGCCGAGCGGTTCCGCTGCCCGGAGGTGCTCTTCCAGCCGTCCCTGATCGGGATGGAAGCCGCTGGCATCCACGAGACGACCTACAACTCCATCATGAAGTGCGACGTGGACATCAGGAAGGACCTGTACGGGAACATCGTCCTCAGCGGCGGGACCACCATGTTCACCGGCATCGGCGACAGGATGAGCAAGGAGATCACGGCGTTGGCGCCCAGCAGCATGAAGATTAAGGTGGTGGCTCCGCCGGAGAGGAAGTACAGCGTTTGGATCGGAGGCTCCATCCTGGCATCCCTCAGCACTTTCCAACAGGTCATCCATCGATCCATCTCTCTCTCTCTCTCCTAATCCCAATCCAACATTTCATTCTCGGATAGAATTGCTCATCACAGTCCAAACTTGGTTGCAGATGTGGATTGCCAAGGCCGAGTACGATGAGTCTGGTCCATCCATCGTGCACAGGAAATGCTTCTGATTTCTCCCAACTAGGAAACAAGGCATCGACAATGTGTTGTGTAGTTGGTGTGAAGCTTTGAGTTGGCATATAATTCATCACAGACACTTACTGCCAAACCTACTACTCTCTTGTTGAGTTTAACGCCATTGCTCCCGCATGCTTCAACCCACCCCGAAAAGAAGTCTTGTTTCATTAGCTACGTGTTGGTTTGCTTTGGTCGGCCCTTATCCTTGATATATATGTTAATCTCGACTAGTATAACTCAGATTCATTGTTAGTTAATAGAAATCAAACATAATAGAGTAAAAAAAATTAAAAAATATATTATATTAACAATCGAAAAAATTGAGTAACAAATAGTGATATAGTGATTGATGATTGATTCTATAATGATGCATTCTCTATTGCAGAAACTTCTTTCTCTCTCCAAATGCTATTGGTCGCAGGTGTCCACTTGCCCCCTTATAGAAACTTATCTGTCTGGCTTGCATTGGCCACCCTCCCCAATCTCTATACAGCCTCCTTTGTCTCAGCTCCTGCTACCGAGCATGTGTAGCTCTTCCCTGTCGGCCATGGCCAGTCACGGCTTCAGTTGCAGGATCATGGCTGTGGCTTTCGTTCTCTCCCTCGTTTATTCTTCTCTCATCGTTTCTTCCACTGCGGAGCTGCAGAAGCTGGAGCACTCGATCAAGGCCGATGGATCTCTGAGCCTTCTGGTCGTCGGCGACTGGGGCAGAAAAGGAGCCTACAATCAAACACACGTGGCCGCGCAGGTTGGACTCGGCATGCGCGCATGCAGCTAAACCTTCTTCTTCCTCCTCATTCTCAGGAAGTATATCGGTGACTATCTCCGTTTTAAGCACCGCTAATCTTTTGATGCATTGTTAAGCTTTCCATGTGAACGATGATGGTATCGGTAGGTAGAGCATCGACTGTTCTTGGGAAAGAGGGGGGTGCATTGATTGCAGATGCATGTATGGCAGCGGTGACAGCTTAGACATAAATGGTGGAATGCCCCCCCAGGCCCCAGCAATGGCAGATGGTGCCCCCAACATGTTTGGTGGTATCTTTTCTTCTTCCTTCTGAAGAAAGATCAAGTGGGCTAAGTTGATGAGCAAGTTGGGTTGTGAATCATTTCAGATCCCCTTTTTTTTTATTTGGCTTTACTTGATGTTGATTGGAATATATTAATCCTCATGCCAACTGTATGTTTGGATATGAACAGATGATTCTTTCAGTAGCAGCAGAGCATTTTGTTAGTCTATTCATATCCAAACATGGACTTGGCATGAGGATTAGCATATTCCATCATCAAGTAAACAACCCACATGAAAAATAGGATGAACAGGATAACAGTTCGTACTCTTCTTGAAAGATTAACCTGTTTACTTCTCCAAGCTCGGAACATCGATTGCTTGTTTCCCTCTGTTTCTTCTACGAACCTTCAACTGCAACACAACTCACAAACTTGATGTGATTGTAGATGGGAAAGATCGGAAAGGAGCTAAACATAGACTTTGTCGTATCCACTGGCGACAACTTCTACGAGAATGGCTTGACAGGAATCACTGACGAGGCATTTGAGGACTCGTTCACCAACATCTACACTGCAGAGAGCTTGCAGAAACAATGGTACAGTGGTACGTTTCTTCTTCACGGATGAAGAATGTGCCAACACAAAGGTGCCAATTAATCTATCTGATCGAGTGGCTTTCATTCTCTCTCTCTCTCTCTCTCTCTCTCTCTCTCTCTCTCTCTCTCTCTCTCTCTCTCTCTAGTTTTGGGGAATCATGACTACAGGGGAGATGTGTTGGCACAGTTGAGCCCTGTGCTGCAAGGAGTTGATAGCAGATGGCTGTGCTTGAGGTCTTTCGTCCTTAATGCAGGTGAAGATGATCCTCATCTTGGCTTGGCAAACGGTCTTCAAGCTGTATTAAGTGATTTCACCATTTGTTTCTGCCTTGTTTGTGCTAGAAATTGTGGACTTCTTCTTTGTGGACACGACTCCCTTTGTTGACCATTACTGGATCAATACCGAGGGTCATCACTATGACTGGAGAGAAGTCACTCCACGCCAAACCTATATCTCAAGTCTTCTAAAGGTATTATTTTGTTTTTTTATCCGATCCAATGAGGCGACTAACCTATTAACCTTTTAGGTTACGTCTAAACCGCTAACTCAAAATGCTTTGATTTAATTCAAACTAATACGTCATGATGTAATAATCTCTTGCCGTATTTATAGGTAGTTTTTTCCTACTATAGCACTTTACCATGTCACTGATTCTGATATCTATTGGATAACATTTCCATTAACTTGTAAGTCAATTCGTATCTTTACCCTAGACAAGGGTTGTTATATTTCATCTGATGCAAGTTCAGAAGGATCCATACAATATGGTGGTGAAGAACACTGCTGAACTGTGTGATCTTATGATTAGGATTTGGATTCAGCACTGGAAGCATCAAGGGCAACATGGAAGGTTGTAGTTGGACACCACACCATAAGAAGTGTCAGCATTCATGGAGACACAAAGGAGCTGCAAACTTCACTTCTCCCAGTTCTTAAGGTAATTTACTTCCAAGTCTTTGGTAGAGAAGGAAAAAGCTTGAATTCGAATTCTACTGATAATTCAACCCTCTCAGGCTCATGGAGTTGACCTCTATGTCAATGGGCATGACCATTGCCTAGAACACATTAGCAGCAATGACAGGTACAGATCTAATGTCTCCTTGCAAGCATGATGAATTGTTTGAAGAGATGTGACAGTCTTCTTATCACTCACTGGCAGTCCAATCCAATACCTAACCAGTGGAGGAGGCTCAAAGTCATGGAGGGGTGTCTTCAATCCGAGCTCGGACAAGCTTAGATTCTTCTATGATGGCCAAGGGTTCATGTCCCTGCAGCTGACCAAGACAGCGGCTGATGTGGTGTTCTATGATGCATTTGGCAGTGTTCTTCACAGATGGAGGGTGACCAAAGAGCTTCACAGCTCAATCTAGGAGGAAGAAAGACTGCGGCATGATCCTTAAAGCTATTATCAAGATGATTTCTTAGTGGTTATTAGCCAATTGTGTGTTGTTGCTTGAGATCCTGAAACTAAGCGATTCTATCATTGCTCTAATTCTTCTTTCCCTCTATGTAGATTTCCATATGCGGGAAACACTTGTCTCAAGAGAAGGCAGATATGAAGGTAAGAGAAGGGACCAAGAATCTACAGCTCATAGAGATCCTGCCTGGATCTTGAAAATATTTATTAAGATATCAGACAAGACCTATATCCCATAGCAAAGTAACTAATCTTTAGATAACAATGTGCTATGCCCTCAAGCACTAGAACAAGGTCCTAAAAGCATCCTTACATTTAGGTTTCCCCTTTGATCATATCATGATTCTGATGTTTCTCACAAGTCAGTCAATTCATACTTGTGGACTAATTATGAAGATTATTTCCGAACCAAGTTCTTCTTCAATTTGGCCTCTCCCCTTCCATCAAACATTTCCACGCTTTGAATAGAGCATCATCAAGCAGAATTCTTGAAAGCAACCACTGAACCCACTGCAAAAACACCCTCATTTTCTTCTTTTTTTGTGAACAAGAGCCTCTCTTCGATCATTCCACACATTGCATCAAAGAGGGTATCATCAAGAAGGTCTCTTGGAACTAAGCAAGAGACCATTGCAAGTTAATTTCTTGAAAAGAAGTGCAAACACCCCCACGAGAAGTTCCAGATTATTATTCTATTCCATCAACAAGGAAGTCTAAAGATGACGACGGAAGAGAAAAAGAGGTTTTTTGTTTCACCAATGCATCATTCTCTCGATCCTTTTAACTCGAATCCCCAATCATACTGCAAAAAGATGATAAATTTGCGAAAACCCCACCAAAATATCGCGTAAAGGCACAAAAAGAAGGGATTTGGACAGAGGATTGGCATTATTTTCTTGAGCCACCTAACTCAGAGCCACAATCATATCGCATAAAGATGACAAATTTGCGAAAACCTTTTAACTCGAATCCACAATCATATTGCATAAAGATGACAAATTTGCGAAAACCTCACAAAAATATCGCGTGAAACAAGAAGAAGAAAAAAGAACGGATTCGGACAGAGGATTGGCAACCGACCTCAGGGGTGGAAGAACCGAAGAAGATCGACGGCAGTCTGTGATGTGTTCTTGAGGGGAGGAAGGGGAGTCTGGCGGTAGCGATGGGAAGCCACGAGCACACGCGCCGCCGACAGTTGCCTCCTCTTTTTGAATAGGGTGATGAGGTGAAGGTGACGAGGAGAAGAGGGGCAAAGATTGGGCTTCCATGGGCTAAATTGGGCTTGCTTGGGCCCATCCATCCCCTTCATAGTGTGCATGAATAGCTTACCATGATTTGTATCAACAAAAATAAAAACATCCTCTGAATTAGCTCTATCTTTTCTTCATGGTCAAATTCTTTAGCTCCATAAAAAAAAACAAAATAAAAAAAAGTTTGTTATCTCCTCAAGTTGCTCTATCAAAATGAACAATTTGTAGACTAAAAAAATAATAATTATAAGCCACAACTAATAATTAGTAGGACCTTCTATGTCATTGTCATCATACCATTGAATAGTTTTCCTCTGCTTGCCATAAAAGTCAGAAACCATTGGCTTGCAGAGGTTTCTGAAACTGATTGAAAGAAGCACAAGGATTGTTTATCAGATGCTTGTGCTGTGGATGTCCAGGAGAAAAGAGACCACTGATTTCGAAGACTACATTCAACTATAAAATAATCATATAGTATATGTTGAAAGAGTTAATTATTTGTTCAGCAATGGAACTGATGATAAGTGACTCAGATTGTGTGAGATCATCAGAATCCTTTTGTTTATGGGTTCATCCCCATTTCTATGAATCCCCTGTTTGTCTTTGTCCTTTTAGAGGCATTGACAGGTTGCAATTAATGGAGTGTTGGAGCAGAACTGGATTATACTTGAAAGAGCAGGTTCATCTGGGGATTGTAGCTGATGACTCCACTAGCTTTCTGGTAGTAGAGGCTTAAACATTGAGGACGGACAGGACTAGATGACACACTGACATATAATTACCTTGATGTCATCACATCCATGATATCAGCAGTTAATCTACTCAAGAACAATACAGAACTGACTGTTTTCTCTTGGAAGGTAAGTAGAATTAAGATAATAACGACTGGCATTATCTCTTGCTTCAGAGAAAAACTCAAGCCATGGACTGTGTTTGAAGGAGCAGCAAAAATATGGAGCCAAATCACTATAGTGGTTGTCTGGTTGAAGGGAAAGAAATAATTGGTGATTTGAGTGGTTCATAACTCAGCTCGATTATTTTCAGATATGCTACTATGGTTCATTAGGTGATTGAGTTTAATGATTTGTCAGAATCACACAGAGGAATATACAAGTTGGATAAGTATGCTAAAGAAATTTGGAGAAGAAAAGATTGGAACTTAATGGCCTCCAAAAGATGCCTTCTCTATCAAAGGGAAACAAAATTGGAGGAGGAAAAAGTCATGGTTAATGCAAGTTTACCTAAACTTGCTCCTGAAAGGATAGCAAAAATCTGATAACCGAGACGACAAAGGTAAGATTCGATCGAACACCTTAATTATTTGAATTCGGTGGTGATTCTGTGGGTGAGAAGTCTACGAGGTTGCAGTGGTGGAGAGTCTGCTGAGCATTGACAGTGAGAGCCATGGCGGAATGTTTTCTCCACTTTGTGCACTTTTTCTGCCCCACAAGCATACCTAAAGGAGTGTTGCATGTCTTGAATCAATGAAGCTTCCCATGCAGCATCATCATCATCCTGTACGGGTCCAATCACCGCTGCCTTATCCACCCTTTCCAACTTGTCACACCCTCCATCTTTTTAGCTCTTCCAGGCTTACACACGCAGCTTCACCTCTCCACAACAAAGAGCAGGCGGTGAGTGAGCTTCTCTTCTTCCTCCCCTTCAGTTGTGTCATGTGGCCAAGACTGGTGGCGAGCAAGCTGCTCCACAGGTTGTCGAGCAGCAACTCTTCTGCTGCTGCAGACTTTCCCACCACCACCACCGCTACATCAAACTGGGACGAGATCATCAACTTACAAAGATCATGCGACGATGGAAAGGAAACACGAAATTACAAGTATGTTTCGGATCAATCGATCTCATCTTCCTTCTCAAGTACATGCTGGCTTTCGATCACTGATGGATGCGGATGCTTTCTCTCTTCTCTTTCCAAGGCTGTTTGCTAGTACTTGGAACGTCGGCGGCATGGCGCCACCATCGGATGGTCTGAACCTGGAGGATTGGTTGCACACAAGAAATGCGTCCTATAACATCTACGTTCTCGGGTAACCAATTCGCCAATTCGTTCGGCAACGTGCTTTCCTGCATTAGATGACATCGATCGTTCTCTTCGGAAGGTTCCAAGAGATCGTCCCCCTCAGTGCCAAGAATGTGTTCGGGCCGGAGAAGACCAGAGTCGCTGCAAAGTGGAACTCGCTCATCGGAGCAGCACTGAACAGGTCCTCCTCCTTCTCGGAAGGTCGACGAGAGGCCAAGATGGGGGAGCAGAGAGTGCATCCAGTCGGTGAAGGCACTGCACGAAACTTCCACTGCATCCTCAGCAAGCAGATGGTGGGAATCCTGGTCTCAGTCTGGGTGAGAGCCGACATCAGCCGCTGCATCCGCCATGCCGGTGTCTGCTGCGTTGGCTGCGGCCTCATGGGCTGCCTTGGGAACAAGGTGGGTTGCTCTGATCAATAGCATGGATCACGAAATCTGATGCAAAGATCCTACAGTTTCTGGAGATTCTTCTTCTCCTTCTTCAGGGTTCGATCTCGGTGAGATTCTGCTTGCACGAGACGAGCTTCTGCGTCGTGTGCTGCCATTTGGCTTCAGGAGGAAAAGAAGGAGACGAGCTGCACAGGAACTCAGACGCGATGGAGATCTTCTCCCGGACATGCTTCCTCCCTCATCCTTCACTTGATCTGCCCACGAAGATACTAGATCATGAGTAAGAACACCAACACGAATCCGTTCTGGCTAAGATTTCATCGACATCAGCGACGCAAGACTTACCACATCGCTGTTTGACATAATGCAGTCGGGTCATACTGCTCGGCGATTTGAACTACAGGGTCTCGTTGCCGGAGGCCACCACACTGTCATTGGTGGAACAGAAGAACTGGAACGTGTTGCTGGAGAAGGATCAGGTACAAAGAGCAGAGCACTGTTTCAGAGAGACGAGAACTCTGATACCATCATCAATATGTCTCAACTCTCTCTGAACATGCTGCAGCTAAGAACAGAGGTGTCCGTGGGCCGAGTCTTCGACGGCTGGCACGAAGGCGCCATTACCTTCTCCCCCACGTACAAGTACTACCCGAACTCCGACGAGTATTACGGGTGCATTCAGAGGAAGAAGGGAGAGAAGAGGCGCGTTCCAGCATGGTGAGGCCTGAAACTGATTCCCACGCAGACGAGCAGCTCCAAGAACGCCTCATGATATCTGATGGTTTTGCAGGTGCGATCGGATCATCTGGCATGGGAATGGCATAAAGCAAATACTGTACGAACGATGCGAATCGAAGCTCTCGGATCATCGTCCGGTGAGATCCATCTTCGGTGTAGAAGTTGAGGTGGTGACAAGCTTGACGTCTCTGACAAGCTTCTGACCGTATGACGGGTTTCGCCGGAAGCTAACAGGATCAGTGATTGGACTGTGTTTCAACCTTTTCTATTTGTATACCACTGATTGAGTATCTGATGATCACTTCTCTTCTACATGAGATGAACAGAGAACAAACCTATGCTCATTTCAGACAGATTTCTGTGTTCCATATGAAACGTATGCAAGCCAAGGAGATTTCATCTCAGAGACCAAACGTATACTCATTTCAGACACAGATTTCTGAGTTCCATATGAAACATATGCATGCCAAAGAGATTTCAACTCAGAGAACAAACGCATACTCGTTTCAGACACAGATTTCTGGGTTCCATAGGAAACATATGCATGCCAAAGAGATTTCGTCTCGGAGAAGACGATTGAGTTGGATCTTCTGATCCAGATACGTAGAAGCCACAAATTGGTCATCTATCTGACTAAAGGATCAGAACAACTATGTCCTGGTCAAAGCAAGGTAGCTGCTTCCAATGACGAAGATGCTGTGTGTAATGAGGCCAAAGTTGATGGGGGACAAGAACAAGTTGGTGGACCCTATGACAAGAGTTTGGATGGCACCATTTGGGACAAGTCAACTCATATTAACTGCATGAAAGCTTGGGGAGAAAAGAGGAAGCCATGGATTGAAAGAACATCAAATTATCTGCAAGTGCTACAATCTGAAGAAATTGACTGTAATTTTTGGAAAATGCACTAAGGAGCAACAGTTGACTGAAACTTTAAGAGGAAGCACTGTTTTTGCTAAAAGGAAAATAAACTCTGAATAATAAATATAACCCAACAAATTTCAGAATTTTGTTCAGTTATTTGAACTGAGCTCAATCTAATTAAAGCATCGCTTATATAGTCTGAATAGGAGATTAGTCGTTAAACCATCGATTAGCTTACCGAATTTATCAACAAAAAATTAGAAGAAATAAGGGTTAACAAGTTACAAAAATATGGAGATGAACATATCTTTAATGACAAAAGAAATAAGAATATTTTATGATAAATTTGTCACTGTCTTACTCATATACAATCAGCAAATATGTTTTCCTTCATAAAAATAACTTTTAGAAAAAAAAAATTGTAATAATAATTTCTAGTTTGAGAAGTGAATACTTTTTTCATACTAAAGAACACCATAAATTTAGAAGCTCATGGATACTAGTGGATATTAGATAGGTATACTTAGTAAGTATGATTTGCAAGAACATGCATGAAGTTTAAGTGGATGAATATGGAATTATGTTACAGATACCACAAACCTCAAGGAATTTTAATTTAATGAAGATGGAAGAAGAAGAGCAACATGAAATGGATGTAAAGTATGAGATATAACAGCAATGAGGCAATTATGCACTTAGTACCCATGGTAAAAGAGTAATGACACTCATGATTAATTAATATTTGACTTCATCCTCAACTACATTTTTTATGGTCCAAATGATCCTCTATTTTTGGTTTCATAGAACTGATCTTTAAATACTCAAATAATTAAAAAAGAATTATTTTCTTTGTAATATCAGTTTTATCTATAATTTCTCAACAGTGTCTTATTTTTTTAGCTTCTGATGAGGTGGTTGGAATTCTTGATTATTTCTGACAGTTTCTACCCTAAATAATATAAATAAAAAGACAAACACCCTTCTCTTTAATTAACAGCATCTTTGTTTTTATGAAATTAATGAAAGGTATAAACTGACTTTGGAAAGTTCATCTTCTTGAAGCTTTTGGTTTCAGGGATAATGCCCTTTTGCTCTGATCCATTCATGAAGATGTGTGTGCTGTAAGCATGAAGAGCCATGGAATCTGTCAGATTTAGATTTCCTAGTAGGCTCTTGGCCCCAAATGAAGAACCTCCTACACCACACAAGCACCTCCAGTGGCCTACCTCAAGCCATCCTAAAACTTAAATCTGAAAAGAGGACATGAATATAAAAGGTTTTGTAGTGTCCTCAAATCTTAGTTTTAGATAATCATCAAGACATTCCATTGAAAAATGAAGTCTGATGGATACATCTGAAGAAGAGAGTGGGCTTTTGAACATGCTTAAAGAAGACTACAAACTAAAGAGGCAACAAAAAGATGTTTACATGAACTGTTTGGATTCTCCTTCCTGCAAGATTATACTGTTCACTAACAGTCAGATCCTATTTCATTTGGATTGCCAAAACTTTGATGTGAAGTGAGCCCTTGTGGACCACAAAACTCATTAAAAGAACAGTAATGATAAGGTTGGTTTGGTAGAACAAATTTGCATTGTGATAAATAAGAATTATCTGAATGTATTGTCCTGTGCTTTTGAAGCCATATTGGAGAAAGTTGACTACAAAGTAAGCAAAGCTGGATGCACCAAGAACTCAAACCTAACAATGTTGTGATGGTCACTGTCACACTGATCACTGCATTTACTCATCATATCAACAAAAATGTAATGTGCCAATTCAAATAGCTTGCACATTGCCTCATGAACAATCAATGAAAATTTTAGACCTTGAAAACTAATGGAGCAGTAGCTGGCTCTTAAAGGGAAGAGGGACCAAAGCACCAGTGCAGACCAAAGAGTACAATTAAAGCTAGCACAACTTTTCACTCAATGAAGGTAACAGAGATAGAATTGCTAACCAGAACCAGAGCAGAGGTAAAGGAGGTGCCCCCACTTCAGCCATATTAATGGTGTCAAGCTTGGAGTAGATTCATCGCATGAAGGGACCACACTATCGAAGCTCAAGAACAATGCCCCATCATTTCAAGTTCAAGATTGAGCTGCATCATCCAACTCATTGCTCTGCATTACTGTTGCCAGAGATATCACAATGAATCTAACCATCTACACCACTTCAAAGTAAATGCTCATTAATAAATGTTCAAGGACAGAAGTCAATACCCGAACCATTACCGCTTGCTGCACGAAGAAAGGAAAGAATGGGATTGAGGTGTGGAGGAGAAGAGAATTAAAGCAAACCTAAAAGAAGAAACCTAAAGTCTAAAGGCCAAGAAGAAGTTATGACAGCAGAAGAGCAGAGGCCGGTATGGTGCGTTCTTGACTTCCTTCATTAAGTACTTGTAAATGTAAAGCCTGATTGATTCCTGTAAGAAAACAAAGGGTTGTCCTGAGACTGGCACCAGCAGCAGCTGCAGCAGCATCATCTTAAAGTTCCAATTCAAGCCTATGATGGAAGCATTCAAGGCCAACCAACCAACAATAGAAGACCCACTTTAATCCCCATCTTGAATGCTGCATCAAAAGCCTTAAGAGGAGTTCATCAGATCTGAAGAAGTTAAGGGAGGTGGTGGGAAGAGATGAAAAAATAGGCTTTTAATTCTCTTCAGATGCATCAGACGTCAGGACAGTTCAAGGCAGCCTTTATTTGCTGAACTGTGGTGCCGATCAAGTTATTGACTGTCGTTACTGACTCCAAATTGAGTTTTGCTGATGGCAAGCTGCTCATAAGTATTTGAAATGCGACAGTCACCAATGAGCCAGAGGAGCCACCCAATGGATTTGAGCTGGATGATGCGCCTTGTCCCCCAGCAGATCGCCCATCTGGTAATATGGTGAAGCCTGAAGGTAAAATGGGTACGTAAGATGGATCCTCACCGCTCATGACAATATTGATGGCCGGTAAATCAATGGGAGAATACACCACAACTGAGCCTGACGCATCAGTGCAGCACTCTTGGAGTATCAACATGGTGTTCTGGCCGGAATTTAATCCCTATTTGATGACCAACAAAAATAGACAATTAAAAACTTCTGACACAGATTGGCATTCACTTGCAGGTCAAAATTAATTATAACTCGATTGTACAAAGCATACAAATTCATGGAAAATATGAAAAGAAAATATTATTGGTGCTGGAAGGCAGACTCTTTCACTAGATTTGCATACTATTCTAATAAATATTTACAAAAAAAAGAAAAACCATGACCAGCCACATGGAAGACATTTTCGTTCCATAAGATGTCATAAATCTAAAGGTCAAGGACAAGGGCAAGAGAAAGAAAGCATACACGAAGAAGAGAGATGCAGTTCCCCGGATGTGATCCATTTGTGATATGAGCCACCTCTTGTACAGTGTTTCCATTTGCAAGAACATCCCACTGAAAGAGATTAAGATGGAGAGTTAACGCTCTTTTTGTAAAAGAAAAAATACAGCGGAAAGAAAGGTATCTTAAAATAGTCATCTCGAGAAGCTGAACAGAAACCTGAGTTCGTGTTTGTTCATCCTTGAAGAAACTAAAGACCCTCTCAGTTGATATGGGAAGCCATATTGAGGTTGCTGCACTGAGAACAACTCCGTTAGGCTGGCCAGCATCTGTGCTTTTGTGAAGTGTAACCCTGACACCAACATCATTTAACCCAGAGAGGGTGGTCCACTTGTGACCATTTGCCGCACCAACATTGGCACAGAAATTGTTAACCATTCTCTGAGCAAGCTTCATCATGCTCTTCTTGCCATCAGGTGTTGGTGTCACTATGTCAACAGTTAAAAACACAATCAAACAGCAATTTAACAAGTTGTATAAAGATTCTGATACCCATGATTGCAACTTTTAAGCAAACTGCAGTTTACCTCCAAGGTCTCTAGCTGGAAGTCCAGTGATGGTTAAACAAGCAAACCTCTCGCACATTCTCTGGAGGGTGGTGAGCCAGCGCTGTGCTCCAAATGCCATTCCACTATTTATCAGATCCCTGAAGAGTATATGAATTGGATTCTTTTCTTCAATTTCCATGTGCTCGACCCAAGTTATCTACAGTAGTATCACCACGGATATTCTGTTATGCAAGCAGAGAGAAACCAGTAACTATGAACATTGTGCAAGCACAAGAACCATATTTTGATCACCTTCGAATAGCCATTTGACATTTCCTCAATCAAGCAGCCAGAAGGAAGCTTCCTTGATCTGGAAGGAGCAAGCTGATTGTCTCTGGGATAGTCCACTGAAACATCAGCTACTGCCCACACATGTGGCTCTATTTGCTGGCAATACCGCAGAAAGCAGAATTCGCGTGTCGGAACAACTGGTGAAAGAACCTGTAGCTCCTCATACATCTGCATGCCTTTGGATTTATCAGTATCACAGAGGAGGTTCGAAAGTTTGGATTCATGAAAAGAGCTTAAGAACTGTCATTACCAGGATCAAAGATCCGCTTCTGCTTCCCGCCATTCCAGCTGCAAGGACTTCAAAGGTCCTGGCCTTGGAAACAATTGTAGGAAACAGCTCCGCCCACTTGCTCTGCAACATAATCCAAATCAATTCAAAAGTAGAATAAGGAGAAAGCATTTCTTTTTGAGAAGAATGAAACTTTACCGCATCCATGAACATATCGATCAATGTCGTAGCATTCATAAAAACAAGAGCAGAGTCTCTTGATGCCTCAGTTTGAGTATCTGGGAACCTGAGCTGCCGATTTGACCTTTGGAAAATCCTGTCGTAGGTTTCAAGTTGAAGTATGTCCCTTCCGTCACTTCCAGACTTCACCCACAAGGGTGCATCAGCCTGCACAAGCCGGATAACCTCCTCCATTGCACCAGTGGCCATCTCCATCATTAGAGGTTTTTCAAGCTCAGAAACTGCTGCAGGAAATGTATATGGAAAAGCCGAAGAAGAATTCCGGCATAGGAGATCAAGATCAAGCGAAGGGCTTATCCCTGGATTACTGTATCCTCCGACCGATAAGTCTAATGATGAAACAGATAATGGCTGAACCGGGGGAAGCTGAGTGATGGGCCTTCCAAGGTACTTTGATGCAAGACTTGAAACACGATCGAGCTACAAGGAATTACATGGAGTAATGCAATCATTAATCTTAATTATCACAAGTAGCAATGATTACTCTCCTCAAATGTAAACCAACAACCAATGACCAAGCAACTAACTAGAGTAAAGATACCAGTGTCATATTAAATGAATTATGTTTACATAATCTATAATTATATCAGGTTAACGCATGTGCGCTATAGGAAAATAATTATCAGATGACAGCCTTGAAGCCAAAGAATTAAGACAACAGCGGCTTCTTATGATCCACATTTACATGCCACACCAGCAAATAATTGTCCTTGGATAAATCAGTGACAAACATAAACCGATCAAAATGATCCATAGTGATCTGCTTCCTCCAAGCATAAGTAGCTAACTAAATGTATATGAAAATGGGATGACTAACTAAACAGATTGTATCAATTGCAGGCTTCATCCATCATGATAAAAGCACACTGGATTGAAGTTTTTTCTGATTGCTTTTCTTTATCTCTTCCTAAAAGAAGACTACTACCAAAGTAGATTGATGGCATCGGATATAATCATCTCTTATTATTACAGTATAAATGCTTGAGGCTTCCATTAATTTAGCAATTTATGACACTCGAACAATGATTCAACTGCAACTCTTTGGAGCTATAACAACTATATGACAAATGCATGCGTGAAGAGACTACTAAACAGGATACTTACACACGGGAAGGATCACCACCAACAAACAAATTAGAGGAAAGTGATGTCGACGTTACCTCCTCCTTCAACCTCGCATTCTCCATCCGCAGCTTCTGCTCGTCAAAGTAGGAGTCGTCACTGGCCGGAGGGGCGCCGCAGGAAGGGCAGATGACGTTCTTCATAGCCTCCCTCATCGCGATGTTCTCGCACCGGATCTTGTCGTTCTCAGCACGGAGCAAGCAGTTGTCCGCCCTCTCGTGCTGAGCCTGCAAAGCGCCAGGATCGATCAAACAAGGCCAAGGTAGCTCCTTTTTGCTAGCAGTAGCATCAAAGTCCAGTCATTCCATCGAGAACACGAACGAAAGAGGAACAAGAACAGTAGGGAGCGGCGAGCGGTTGCCTTCATCTGCGTCCTGCGGTTCTGGAACCAGAACTTGATCTGCCGCGGCTCCAGCCCCAGATCCCGGCTCAGCTGCGCCCTCTGCTTCTCGTCAGGGTGCGGGCAAACCTTGAACATCCTACCAACAAGCTCAGAGAAACCCATCAGGAAGCCGCCACCGAACAGCCCCAAAACACACAACAAAACAGCACCATAACCTCTGCGGACACACCAAACAAACAGAGCGAGAGAGCGAAGGAGATAGAAGAGAGCAGAGCATACGATTCGAGCTCCTGAATCTGCCGCGGCGTGTGCCGGTGGTAACGCTTCTTCCTCCCCTGTGAGTCGGGCACGTCCTGTTCGTCACCGGAGTCCATTTTCCCAACCTGTGACGCCTCCAAAACCCCCCCTCACCGCTCCTCCTCCCGCTTATACTGTTACTACTGTCACTACCGGTACCCACGACAATCTGCTACAGAGGTTAGCCAGTTCATGCTATCTATTTCCGAGGCTTGGCGACGCTATTTCCCCCTATGTTTCGTCCTCAAAGGTGGCGCCTTTCACATCCGGCTGCAAAAACACACATCAGTTTCCCTCTGTGACTCTCGTCGGGGAGCGGGATTTGCGAGCTAAATGAGAAACCGGCGGTGCGCATATCGCAGATATCGGCAGCAATCCGGGCGGATTCGCCCCCATCTCTCCCCCTTATTAAGATGCACCGAGAATTCTTCTCCCCCTCTCACTCTGCTCTCTCTCTCTCTCTCTCTTTCTCTCTCTGTATTTAAAGCCAACAGTAACTGACGCGATGTAAAAGGTCAGGGCTTTAACAATGTTGGATTTCGCTTCATGGGCTATTCTATCCTCCCCGAACCACATCTTTATACATTTATTAGGAGCAGATTACACAATAATATACATCTGAGATTTAGGATTATTCGCTTTTCTCATGCTAGTTTTCTGAATCTGATACTACTCCCAGCTTTCTTCTTCTCGTTGATTCGCTCTCCGACTTTAATTCTTCTTCCTATTTGCGATGCATTTTCGTACGATCTAAAATTTCTAGCAACCACAAGGTGTACTTGAAACAAAGATGAAATTTTGGCAGAAATTGCACGAAAAAGCTTCCATTTTGATTTTGAACCATTGTCTGTTGGGATGATTCGTCTTCGAGAATTTAAGATGAGACAGCGGAGCAGAGAGAGAGAGAGAGATGAGGCATGAAGAGTGCTGAGCTTATTACTCTGCCAGCTCTCACCTTCGACCCTTTCTCTCTCACGTGTCCCGCTGATTGCAACACACTGCTGCTTACCATGATAGCATGCGCCCTCTGCTCTAACTCCATGATCGTCATCTACTTGAAGACAGTCTCATGTCGGGTGAGTGAGAAGCGATGGTGATTCAATCAGCGACTGTGGTGTGCTCCTCCCCCTCCTCCTCCTCCTCCTCCTCCTCCTCATGTAGTGAATGCTAGCAATCAAGATTACATGTCAGCTGAGCAGAGCCATAATGGTTGCATGGTGGTACATTTTACCCTTTGCAGCTGAAATTACTGGTGCACAGATTTATGATGTCCACCATGCTGAACCGAAACCAGATGGTTGAAGAGACGCTGCTTCCCTCCCTTCAATGCTATGAGATCAGAGATCTTTAATACCCGTAGTTGTCTTCCCTCAGTCCATCACTCGGTTGCCATGATCAAACAGTGGAAGAAGGATGAAGAGGAAGGGGAAGGGGAAGGGAAGGAGAAGGAGATGGTTACCAGGAGTGACCCAGTACCGAAGTGAAACGTTTATGTCAGCAACACAGAACTAAGATTTTGCCTGCCCCCTTATTCCTACTGTCTCCCTAAACCCGGAAATCCAAAGGGGTCAAACCATGCAAGATCTCGAGCTGGATCCTGTGATTTGTGGGCTCCCAGAATATAAACAAAGGAAACATGTTATTTTATGCTGCTTCTCTTCGACACCATTCTCTGACAATAACCAAGTAAACTACATCAACCACCCCCACCACCTTGGGCACGGTGTGACGGAAGCCTCCAAAGGCTTCTTCTCTTGGCCTGTTCTTGCAGCTTCCTCCCAGCCCAAACTCTACCCGTTCCTGTCGTTGGATTTCTCAGCAGCTTCTCTCCGAGTACAAAATGTGCATGGATGGCGTGGGGATCGGAAGAGAGATGGAGGAGGGCTTTCGCTATCTCGGTGTGGGGAGGCCGTACGAGGGCGTCATAAAGCTTTCTTTATGGCCGCCGGACGAGCGTTGGGTGGCTAAAGTTGGACCGCAATTAATGTACGCGCCATGCCAGTCTCTCCCGGCACCCTCGCCCGTGCGGCTCGTCACCGACACGTGCCGCCGCCGGCGACCCCCGCTCCGGAGGCCGTCCCGGTCGCTCGCGCGGCACGTGCCGGTTCCCCATTCCGGAAGTCCGCTTCTCCTGCCCCATCGCCAACTACCCGTCCCGACGAATGCCTTGCTGGCTGTGGGACCCAAACTGAACTCTCACACGTTTCAGGCGGATGCCCGGGTACCCGTGAACGTGCGAGCAAGCAAAGCGAGCCACGTAATACGCTTGCTTGGTTTGGGGCCTACTCGACCTCGAACGGCGACGCTTCTAACGTAGGGTCCCGTCTTTCGTGTCACGACCACGTTGCAGGTGGCCGCTGGGGTAGGACCGAACGGACGAGCAGCCTGGCTGTCCAAACACGTGCGAGCAAGCAAAGCGGGCCACGTAACATGCCTTGCTGCTTTCGGGGCCCACCTCAACCTCGAACGGAGACTCTTCTAACGTTGGGTCCCGTCTTTCGTGTCGCAACGACGTTCCAGGTGCCCGCGTGAGGACACAAAATTTGCGTCGGAATATGATGCGTGATCTTTGGGCGCGGCATTTAAAGACTTGTTGACCTAATCCGATGCGTCGGTTCCTCGCACGTGCGGTGGCAGGTGTGACGAGGGCGCCACATGACCCTCCTCATGACGTACTAAATAGAGTGGGTGGGAATCAATACGCATGGCACGATTCATCACCATCAACATCATCACAAGTTGTTCATCGATGGAGATGATGAGCATGCAGTGGAGTGGAGTGGAGTGTAGGGAGGATGTAATTGTTGTAATGCCAATGATTGAAGTTTGTAATCAGTGTATATACCTCTTCTTCCATTAACTTTGATCAAAGTAGGTTAATCACCTCCAATTTTGATTGAAATTGACCAAGTTAAGTGTTAAAAATATATAAAAATGCCTCTAATATTTTTATCATCATGATGAGCTTTGTAAATATATTATTATATAATTATAAGATGAAATACAGAGACATTTAGGTTAGTTAGAGTATTATTACTATACGTCATTTAATGTAATAAAAATATTTTTTATTTTTTATTTTCTTGAAAAAAAAGCATCCATCATCTTCAATATGTAAAATGAGTGTGACACAAATATCAATGCACTTCCTATGACAAAACAAAACAATGGATGCTTTATATTGTGGATGTGCATTTTTTGAGCATTTATTACACACACATAAACCATTATATGTGTGAAGATGAAGGCTCACATCCATGATAACCAATGCACACTTGCATCACTAACAACACTCATCTTCAAAGCAATGAATGCATGCTCTTCAAAAACAATAATAATGTATAAAGAGTAATACAATTGCAATTACTTATTTTATTATGCTTTGAGTGGATAAATGTATTCCATCTATGTTGAGATTGCAGGGACATGAAATGTGGATGGAATTTGGTGGAAAGAACAAAGGCTTTCCTACTAATCTTTTTTGTTTCATGGGCCAACTATCCTTTCTAACTAATATAAATGTTATATTAATCAGTATAAATATCAATGCAGATCAAGATATATTTTTTTCCTCATATAATTTATGTAAATAAATATTAAAGTTATATCTTTGCTAGCTCGACAAGACTCTCGCCAATGCAAGATCAATAAAGATCATTATATAAATATTATTTTCATAAATAAAAGGTTTATTATATGATTGATCACTCGGATTACAAAAGAATAATTTTATTAGTATATCATGCCAAATGTATAACAAAAAAAATATAAATTGGTTACTATTATATATATATATATATATGATTTGTTATATTATAATAAATTTTGGAACTAATAGTTTTGCCATTATAAGCTTTTATATGTCATATATATATTTCTCTAGATGTTAAGATATTATCTATGATTTCTTCAAAGTCTTTCTAAAAATTTTAGGACAAGCAACAAAACAAAATTCAAAGTTTCTAATTATATTTATTAGTTTTTTAGGAAATGAGTATTTAAATAAAAAAAAAAGAACATGACAATAGATCTGATACTAATAAATGTTAAAGTGTATTCATATATGTTAAGAGTATCAACTAATAGTCAGATGATAATAATGATTGAATGACTAATCATTGTTTGCAAGTTTTGTGGAATATATA